CTAAACTTTTTTTTAGTTTTCTTTACATTGGGTGACTTAATATGAACTGCCCAGAGAGCTTCAGCTATGGGCAGTATATAAATTTTGTTATTATTGTTGTTGTTGTTATTATTATTGATGATGATGATGATGTCTGTGTGTGTTATCTGTGATTTTCTGCAGTAGGCTGCAAAACTAAAAAAATCCATTTAATCATTGATGGCAAACTCGTGAATAATCAAATCTGCAAAAGTTAAACCTGCGAAAGTTGAAGTTGAGGTTCAACTGTAGTTGCACTTAGAACATGTAATTGTTGGAAATACAAGTCAGTGTTAAGATTTCAAAATAGGCTGGTGCTCAAAGAGTTAACAGCATTTTAAAAATGCTGTGAGACATATGACTTTTTACTTACTGATGTTTTTACAGGAAGGGGTAAATATCTGTGTATCTACAATATCAGAATTTGGGGTTCATTCCCACTGGTGCTTCTCCAATAAAGGTACAATCTGTTTGCAGAGCTTCCTTCAAGGAGTGACTGTAGTATTTTGCTTTTTCTTAAAGCAAGCAGTTCTATTAATCTGAAATCCTAAATACAAGAAATATACCCAATGCAGACTGGCATGTATTCAGGAGATTGACAGAGAACAAGCAGCAGCTTTATATCGCAGCATTCCGTGCTCAGATTGCTAATATTCATAGACAAAACCCACCTTTCACGGCTATAAAGCTCTGTTCAATTGAGAAACAGGAAATGGTGTGCATTCCAGTTTGGAGACCGTTTGAAACAAATAAGCTGATCCAACTGCTCTCTTTAAATTTACGCAGAGGAAAAGCCCTGCACGCTCACCCAACGCATTGTAGCTTCCTACGTCTCTGTTGTAATTTGTGGGAGAAGAGGGGAAGCTTTGCTTCACCGGTTGCATTTGGATGCAGTTGTTCTACAGTTGGCTTGACAGCTATTGTCATTATCTGTTTCCCTTTGGAGATTTAAGGAATGGGGTTTGCAGCACTGATAAAGGGGTGGGGGTTTTTTGGTTTTGCCTAAATTGCAGCTTACAATCAGCCTTGCTCAACCTTGTGCCTGCCAGACATGTTTGGACTGCAACACCCAGAATGGCCCTGCTGGAGTTGAGGTCCCAATGCCTCTGAAGGCCACCAATTTGGGGAATGCTGGCTTACATGGTTGCCCAAATTCAGCCTCCAGTAGTCAATATCATTTCTTCCAATGGACAGTGGATGGTCTATGAGCTTGGAAGCAAAGAGGGCTATCAAGACATAAGGCCATGGGTTCATCATATCCGAGGAGACCCCTTATATGTTTGAGGTAGTGTAAGTTTGCAGCTGGAAAAAATAAACTTTAACTCCCCCGCCCCACAAAGTCACCTGACAAGCACTTATGTGAAATGTTGAGGTGCCATTTGGGTATGTCCAGATGCAGTTTTCGTTCCACAACAACCTGTCCACGAACATGGGATTTAATGGGGACTCCAGGTGTCTTCATGTACTCACAACCCCCTGCATTTTCCCACTGCTGCTGCTTTTTTTCTTAGCAGAGAAAATCGCCTGAAGGAGGAAACAATGGAAAAGCTGCAAAGCACCTCTTGACCGGTAGCGCAAGGAAGCCTCTGCCAGGAAGCACCCGAAAAAGGAAGGGAAGTGAGAGCAGAGGAAGTAGAGGGAATTGGCATGCTTCACCCACAAAGAACGTATAGGATCTATGAAGGCAGGGCAGGTACGAGTTAAGCGGAGATGTGATGTAATGATAAAAAGCAGTCCTGCCTGTATCAAGAAGAATGTTACAGGAGGAGGAAAGAGGGGTAGGGGACTATTTCTCATTTCTCACACTACCCTCCCAGGAAGCATTTATTGTGTTCTCACGATTGTACTTGCAGTTGTTTTCGGAGGTCTTACATGACATCTTCCTTCCACATCTGTGTGTGGTGTTTAAGAACAAGGGCAATCCACTGTCTCTTAGATGTCACACCACCCCCAGCCCCCATTCCCCGGCATTTATTTCTGGAATTGTACAGGCAGTCCCTAGGTTACAAGCAAGTTCCATTCTCGAAAAAGTGGAAATTCTTTAAGTCAAATTTGTATGTAGGCTGGATCACATATAGTCAGCCCTCCACTTTTGCAGGGTTTAGGAGTGCAGGACCTCTGTCAAAGTGGAAAAAGCACAAATATGTCTAACCCCAAACTCATGAAGGCCTCCTGTTTGCAGCGAGGAAATCCTGGCGATTTCTCTCTCCAATGGGCACGGCAAAAAGGCCTGCTTTGGAGGCCTCCCTCTCTGTATCTCTTCACTTCCACTCTCTCTATGGTGGTGGCAATTTCCTGCAACAGGCCTTTAACTCCAGTTTTTAAATTAATAGGCTTTATGGCAGTTCATCTGTAAGTGCAGGTTGTTTGTAATTTGGATGTTCGTAACTTGAGGACTGCCTGTACTATGTTGCAGGGCTACCCTGGATAGACCATATGGGAAGGTGGAGAAAGGGGGTAAAACAGGAAAACCCCATGTGTAAAGGTTGCCCTCTTTCTCCCATACAGAAGATGCCTCCAGGTTAAATGCCCCATGTAGGGAAAGCCATGCTGTAGCTATGAAACGCTCAGGTTTTGGGATGCACCTCTAATCTAGGGATATTTATTATGGTTTTATAATTGTATTATTCTAATTTTATACTATGTAAGCCGTCCTGAGCACTTGTACAGGACGGGATACAAATGTTTGAAATAAATAAACAAACAAATGACTGAGACAAGCATCATGGCAAGCCAGACTGTTTGTCCATCTAGCTGCATCTGATCTACCCTGACTCACAGACATCTTTAGGGCAGGGGAAGGATGGAGGAGAGGATTCCCCCGCTGCCAAAAATGTTCTTCTGTGCCCTGGGAAGCCTTCCCACTCCCAGCATTCCATGAGGCTCCAGCCTGACCAAGGAATGAAGGGAGACCATGCAGATGAGGAGGTGGGGCTATGCAAATAGGAGCAGGCTTGAAATCAGCAGCTGGATTTCAAAGTGGGAAGGAGCAGGCCAGCTACCACACCAGTAATGCTGCAGAGCACCCCCCACCCCCATAATGGGCAGGGATGAACGCCGCTTGCTTCAGTTAGGATGCCAGGCACTCCAGTTGGGGACTTTGGGGCAAATCCTGTCCCTTCCCCTCGTGCTACCAGCACATCAGTGATGTAAGCCCAGGAAAATCTCAATTTTTCCTTCCTTGACTGGCACTCATGTTTCTATTGCCCTCAACTGCAGACCTAATTAAGAGGTTCCCAGAGTCTGACTGATCCCCCCACCCTTATCTGTATAGTTTCAGCTGCCAAAAGGATTTTGGAAGTCCTACAAGTGTGCAGGCTCTGGTAAGGTGGTTAGGGGATTTTAAAAGCACTGCTTTTCTTTTATTTTGCAAACATATATTCTTCTGCATATTTAGGGAACCCCTAAGTATGCAGAAACCACAGTCTTATTGACATCTTAATTTTAAATGGCTATGGAGCGTGGCTGGCAAGAAAAAACAGTGACAGTCCCCATTCTCAAGGATACTCCTAGTAACTCCGAAGCACATGCTGAGGCAGCTGCAGGGGTTCTCTTCTGTAAATCCAGCTCAGAAAATTGTGCAGTAAATGCTGTCTGCGTTGTGACTTGGCCCCATAGTGAAACAACCCCATAACAGGTTCTCTGTGTGAGATACGCTGCTTTTTGGTGCACTCAGTCCACATCCTGAAGGCACCAGCTAAGCTATGCTGATGGAATGCAGCAAACCATGTATTTCCAAATTGAATGAGGGACCAGAGGTCCAGTGGCTTGCCAAGCCAGCACTAAAATAAATCTGGAGAAAACAGATGTGTGCTGAACAAAAGTGAGTTCATTTTCAACATAGACATGTCTGGATATATTTTGTGTCTATCAAATAGGATTCAGTTGGCATACACATGCAAAAGCTTTCACCGTATTTCAGTACATGCATTTTTTATTTCCTTAGCTGCAATGTGTTATCATGGTATCATTTAAAAAAGAGAAAAAAAATAACTGGCCAGAAAAAGCAGAGGTAGTAATTGCTGCTTTCGTGACATACTCTAGTGCCACACCAATCCTTAACAGTAAAAGTCAAAGTTAATGTGATTCAGAAAATGTACTAGAAAGCCATCTTCATATCATATAGTGCAAATTCTCTACCAGAAGGCAACAGATTTCATTTTTATTATGCAATTCTCATGAAATACCATTGGTTCTTTTCTTAGGTGTGCAAAGCAGGTTTAAAAATGAATGTTTAAAACAAAATTCTAAAGGAACTCAAATTACCATACAGATTTTGTACCTTTATATAAGCTTCCACCTGCAGAGCAATTCGGACTGCACTGCTCATATGAAATTCTTAAGGAAGCCAGAACAGGTTAGTGTTTTTCAATGTAATAAAGTTCATTCCCCACCCCCACCTCCTGTGAAAGGTAGCAAAGATAGGTAATTCTACAAGCCCTGATTAGTCAGATAAGCTTTGCTGTAAAAAATAATAATACTTCTGTTGAATACAAAGCAGGCTTTTCTGAACACTCAAGCATAAGAAAAGAAGAGAAAGGAGGGTAAAAGGATAAACATCACAAATGCAGGCATAACTGGTTCATATTAGCAAATGCTGAAAGCTGCAAACCCATGTTATTATTCTAAAATACTGTTTTCTTCTTCCAGCAGCCCCTTGCAGATGCCTCACTCATTTTTTAAAATGTCAGCCATGCTCTCTTTGACTAATTTCACTAAACTGCAAGCTCCAGTTACGTCAATCCTCCATGTTTGTGTTTGCCAGCTTTCACAACAGCAGCTGGAACGAGCCGCAAAACTGCGCCAAGCCTGAAGCCGCAAAACCCAGCCTCACTGCAAGTCCTCCCTTTAGACCAGGGGAGCTTCCAGGAAACAGCTCGACCTTGGCCAGTCGCATAGTTTTCATATAAAGTATGCACATTCATGATAGCCTTTTTGTTTTGTTTTCATTTTAAAAATTATGAGACTAAGGTTTAACCAGCCTTTCAGACACTTTTTATCCAAGCAGCAGGAAGCACTTGCATTTTTAATTTATGTCCTCCAGAGACATGGAGCACTTGGAAGAAGAGGAAGAGGATGTTGGTGCTGCCTGGGAAAGCAGTCTTTTTTGGTGCAGTTCCTCCCACTTATTTCTATTGGCCACCACCGAATCCAGCATTGGCTTCAATTTTCCATTCAGTTTCACTAAAACCTGGAAGAAAGCAAAAGATCATTTCACAAATCATTGATTAGACTGTTAGTTCCAGTCCAAACTAAACACTGAATATTTGGCCAGCTCATCATGAGAGGGGCTTTTTCTGGGAGAATTTATTAGGGTATGTCATATTTTGCTCATAATGTTCCCTTCCAGAATACTAGAAGAAAAGTTGCTATAAGATCATTCTGTGGGATTCCTGGAGGAAAGAGGAAACTGGTAATGGGTCCACACTGAACAGGAGATAAAATCAATGAAGAGGAGAGCATGTTTTCTTCCAAAACCAGAAGCCTCTCGTCAAAAATAAATTTTATTTTATTTTTTAAATATATCACCTCTTTCATTTAAGAAGCTCAGGGTGGTATATTTGTGCTTCCAGATCATTTTTTTAAATTTAAACTGGACAAAGGGTACTCACAGCCCAAACACTGTTGACAGCTTACTCGTCTTCAGGTCTTTTCTGAGGGGCAAATTACATGCAACGCTCAAGTCACATTTAGTTTCTCTCTGACAAAACCTCCCCACCCCTGCAACCTGGTCTACCATTATGGATTATGACCTCCATGGCAAAAGAAGAAAATGTCAGATGAAGCTACACATGCATGAATGTCATGTATGTACTCGGATGCTAAAGATGCTACAAAGTTTGATTTTGCGGTCAACAAGAAAGCTGATCTTCTGCATGTCTTCATAACTGGGGCATACCCATTGCAGGCACGTCATTAATTCCTCCTAAACCACATTCAGTAGGTGGCGATTTTGTGCCCTTTTCTTCCAACTGATGTGAGCTCATATGCTCCAACTTCAAGAAATGTAAAATGAGAGGGCTGGGGATGGAACAATGTCCCAATGACATACTTTTCCCCAGCAGCAAATGTAGCTGTGGCCCTTCCATCCTACATTCTGCGGGGAACGAAACAGCGCTGCAGAGAGTAAGTTCCAATAATGGAACCAGCGATCTAGGACAGCCTGCTATGAATGGAGTGAAATGAGTGCAGTTCTGTTTATGTGATTCATTAAGCAGAATATTTTGCTTCTTGGAATACACTGTTTTATTTCCTGTGTGTATATGCAAACATACATATGCACATTTTATAAATCTCTTCCCAACCCTTCTCCACACACACAAAATCTTGCACATTTCTATGTATATTAAAAGATCTAGCAACTTTGGAGAGTCACTAACAAGGATTAGGACAGTATCCAACTTCAAATAATTATTGCCCCAGGGTTACTAAGACAAAATGAAGGGGATATTTCCTCAGTCTTTGATTTTTAGTCGTAAGTTAAGTGTATGCAATTAATTCTATAGAATAGCAGTAATATATATAGAAAGAATAATTAGAAAACAGTCATTTGTTATGCACATTAATCAGGTGACATTTGGATTAGAGGTACTGCAAAGGCTAAATTTCATATATAGGGTATAAAACTTCTTTCTTTAGAGGTTTCTTTGATATTTAAGTCCTATTTGTGTATTTAGTACACTTTGGCTTCGGGACACAGATTCATTCTTTTAATTAAGCATACCACTATAATTCCTATGGAAATTAGCCTTTTAAAAATAATTCTGCTACTAAAGCATTCCTCTCAGACTTTCTGGATACAAAGTACACTATTTGGATTTTATATCTGCCTGGGATGTAATTAAAACCTCATTTGATTACTATATATTTTGGCTCTCTTTTAGTTATTCAGTCCCTGCAATCAATTTTCTTTTATGAAGCTTCTGGGAAATTATCTCAAAAGCAACACATTTCTCTCCTCCCAGCAGATTCCGTGAACATTTACTAAATTACTTTTTTCACACCTGTCCATTCCTGAATTGATCCACCAATTCATTTCTGAACTACTCAGATCTTTTGACTTTAGTGCAATTGAGGTTCTGCACCTTTTGCTCTTTGTTCAACACGCCCTCTTCTATTTTGCTGAATGTCAGTTGTTTAGTTATCCTTTACGCAACCCTTTTCTATCTCATGCTGTCCCTTAAGAAAATAAGTTTTTATTCAATTCTTGCTCAAGGCAATGCTACAACTTCATGGCAAAGATGAGACCTGAGCCCAGAACATGCAGTTCCAAGTCGATCTCTTGTTCCATGGAGTTATTTGTGGTTTTTTCAGTTTTTTAAAGAGGGATGGATCCTTGTTGTACATAACATTTTCTGGCTGTGTTCCCACTTTCCTTGTCACCCCCCTCAATAAGGAAGGCAGGAAAGATAGGTAAGAACAGCTGCAAGAAAACAGAATCTAGTTCAACGGTAACACGTTGTTCCTTGTCTGTTTCTCCACAATTACAGTTTGGAGGAAAATTAAGAGGAAAGGGCAAAAATGGACAGGGAAGTGTGTATTTATTTATTTGGCAAGTTTTATATACTGTCCACAGCTCATGAACTTTCTGAATGGTTTTCTACATTAAACATACTCTGCACTGTGCAAGCAGTCATTTGTATCAAAAGTAGCAGTGAGAATCATACAGTTGGAGGGGCCTTGGAGGCGATCTGGTTCCACTCCAGACCAAGCGTATCCCTAGCATAGGATCCAGGTTCTTTCTGAAAGCCTATAGAGAACAGCACCCCCATCCCCACAGTATTCTACCGCCTGCCCAGGTAATTTGTTCTATTATTAAACTGCTCCTACTGATAAGAAATGTATCTTAGTATTCAACCCAAAACCTGCTTTTCTCATCTGCCACGGGTTGACAGAAATTAGATCTCCAGGTGTTTTGGAGGTCAACTCCCAGACCCCCCCTGCCAGCATGGCCAATGGTCAGGAATGTCAGGAGCTGAAGTCCAAAACACCTGGAGATGTTGCTTCTCCCCACTGGGACCTAAGCCTATTGAAAGGCCACAGAAAACACATCTTTGACCTGTTCTATGAGACAGCCCTTGGGATACCCGGAGAATGCTGCCATGTTCCCCTCCTGTCTTCTCTTTCCCAAGCTACACATATGCTGTTCCTTCAACGTTTCCTCTTTCCTTATGAGACTTGCTTTCCACACTGTTGTTCACTGTCATCACCCCCTGAGCCCATTCCAGTTAGTCTACATGCTTCCGAAAGCACAGCACTCACAACTGGACACGGGATTCTGCACGAGTCCGCTTAGTGCAGCATAAAGTGCAAGCATTGCTTCCTGTGCCTTGGAAATGAATTGTATTGACCACCTGTGATGTAGAGCTACATAAATCAGATCTCCCATTGACCCCGAAAACCAGTTCCAAACTGGTTCACAGGGCAGTTGTATGTCACCCAGTAAATTACTAGCACTTCCTGCTGCAATGTAGATTTTTCTTCAGGGCTTTCATCCAAATATTGACCAGCTTTGACTTGCCTGCTTAATTTATGAGCTTTGACAAGATAACAGCATATAGTTGTCTTTCTGTAGGTCTAACACCTGTAAAGTGTGTATGTGCAAAAAAGACCATATAAATTCTGGTTTACTACTAAGCAGAATATCAGAAAGCTATAAGCCACACTGTTCGCACTGCTCAATAACCTGCTGGGTTCTAATTAATCACTTTTACTGTATAGGCAATTGAGAGAGGACCCAGCTTCTAGAGACATTGCAGAGGGACAAAAGGTGTAAGCATGTGAAGCTCCTGCAGAAGTTAATAGAGTCAAAGCTGCTTTGCACTTTGTGGTTTGCTGAGTAGGTTATTCCACTGGAAGCACATAAAAACACAATGCAACTCTTCTAGTTCTACCTAGGGTGGAACTATCTCACAAGAAACCTGGTCCTGCCACCAAAACCCAAAGCAGTACATTGGGGTCCCTCTTTTTCTTCCATCACATCTAGTACCACATAGCCTGATATCAGGTTAATGACAGACGAAAAGAGGACAATTTGATTCACGGCTCCCATTCTTGTCAGTAGCGTTGTGAGCCCTACAGCATATAATTCAGTATCGGGATCTCAGTTTTGGAACAAGACATTTAACTAGAGGTTTTGTGGAACTAATATTTTTAATTTGGAACTATACTAAGGATGTTTCCAGGCCTTATCTACTCAGAGGACATGTTTTATTAAGTGAATTAGAAATGTATTAAAGAAGATAAATAAAAAGATGATCTTGTGTGCAGGTACTCATCAAATGCATCCAGTCATACTCTCAATGATGGCAGTCAAAGCCAGTCCCATTTTCACTGCGCAAGTGCCCCTGACAACAAACACCCCCTTTTTCTATCCCAGTTGTTACATTTAACATTACATGTTACATTACATCCAGCACATGTGCTACTCCCCTAATTTCTGTTGTCTTGTAGTGGGCCAAAGGTACAAGCTAAAGTTACTCAAGAATGGAGCCAATTCAGAGCACTGGCCTTTTAAATTCCTTTCTTCCACTCTAAAAGTGAGAATATGAATGCTGGCAAGGAAAAAGAAAAGATGCTACCTATTCTTTACAACTAAAAGGGAGATTGGCAGCACTGCTGCTGGTTACCACTGGCAGGCTTATGCCTTGGAAACAGGCTTGTTTTGCCAAGACACGTTTGACTGAAAATATCTCAAGGCCTATTGCCTTGCACTCTTTTCAAGGAACAAAGAGGAAAGTTTTGTTTGTTGTCCATTTCTCTGAAGCAGGGCATGCTGCGAGAGTACCTTCTGTGCCAGGCACTTCCAAGCCCCCTCGCACTCCTGCGCCACGTCGGGTGCTCCAGGCTCTGTGGAGGGCAGCTTAGGCAGGGGAGTGGACAGAGCAGGTTTGGGCCAAGGAGACTCTCCGTCGAGGAGCGTGTTACATTCTTGTGCAGTGAGTGGAGAGCAGCTTGTTCCACCTCTTCCTTATGCCACCCCTTCTTCTTTCTCCCAGCATGCACTATGAAAAGGATGGGAAGCCCTCAACAGCAAGCCAAACTCTGGAAGTGCAGCACTGGGGCCTGGAGGCGCTGCTGCACTACTTTGAAGAGCGGGTGGGAAAGCCCTGGGGGTTATAAATTCTGACATGTTTGGATCTAACATGTTCCCCATTTCTAAATTACTATATTATGAAAGCTGCTTCTGAA